TGCTGAATTGCAGTAATCATCTATCTTGGTGCCTGGAGAAGTTAATTCTACCTCTAGCAGTCCAGTATTAAAACTATTTAGAAGAGCTCATCCAGTGGTTAGGGTGAGGTGCTGGCTTTTGTTACTTACAGCAGTGTTCTCAGATTTGCAATGAAACCAGCATTCTTATTACAACAACCTTGCCAAGTTGTTTTATTGAAGATACTCTGCTACTACAACCCCTGTAAATACTGGTGGTGACAGCAGTGGGGCTGGGAAGGGCGAGGATTGGAAGGTGCTCTGGTGCTCTTTTCTTGACTTACTGGAAAGTCATCCTTGTTGTGTATTTAGCCATAGTGTGTAACAGTGGAGCAATAGGATGTTGACACAGAAATGTGGTGCTCCTTCCTCAAGCCTGATAAAGCTGCTTTGTGTTTTAGCACCGCATGCGTCCTGAAATTGCTCAGCTTCTCAGTCCTCACGTATACCAGAAGCTGGAGAACCATCCGTCTGTCCTGACATATGAGAACATAAAAGTGAGTTTTCAGCAATCCAAGCAATTGCTTTTGTCCCCTGTTACTGGCTAAAATGAGTATCTGTAAAATATAGTATTCAAGGATTTGAAATTCTTAGATCAAGTTCAGTTACTGAAATTTATACCCTAATCAAAGAAGTGTGTGATACAGAATTTGGAGACTAGCTTGTAGTTCTTCTGGCATTAGTGGTGGTAGACACTGGAAATGGATCCAGTACTGGTGACTTCAGAAGAACAGTGAAACATTAAAAGCTAGGAAGAAATCTTAGAGAGACTTAAAACATTGTATGTGAAACTCCAGTGTTCAGGTAGGTGACTCAATTACTGGAACTCTCCTTCCTTGTGTTCTCTGGGCATTTTACCAATACATAACATCTGCAGACAAGATCTGTTCAGCTTAAAAGGATATTGCAATCACTTAATGGCTAACACGCATAATAAACAGCTAGAGTTTAATATACTATAAGCATTAGAATGTTTGCCACACCATAAGACACTTGAAGAGTCTTTGCAGGTATCAGTCAGAAGTGTCAGCCTCTGCTTCTTAACATTACTGAGTTTCGATCTTAAAACTAGCTCCCTGTTTTCTGATTGGTATTTCCCCATTCTAATCAGGATTTCCTATCGTATCTCTGCCTGTAATTTCACCTTTCTTACCTTGCATAGCCCTGTTCTGCAGACTTGCTCATAGCTCTGTCACAATTTAGCCATTTTCCCAGAAGTATAAGCCAAGGTTACACTGCTCTGCTGTGTCAGGGCTTGGCCTTGGACCTCTGAAACATAAGTGACTGAATATACTGGGAAGAAGAATTGGAGGTAGCTACAGAAAGAGGATTGCAGTAGCTTAGCTACATAAATATCCCTTCATGAAAAGACAGTACTAAACAGTTACAAGCTCTTTAATTGCATGGGAAAAGCACACTGAAAACTATGGCAAAATGCTGAAGCCAGGCATGAGAAAACTAGTACTGAAGATGCTTTAATTTCTAGAACAAGCTATTTGGGAAAGTGGCAGGTCCTCTTTTGGTATCTTGAAATCCAGATGAAGTATTTTGTAGAAGATAATTTAATTGAACTAATTAAAAAAAACCCAACAGAACAAAAAAACCCCAAAACAACAACCAAAAAACACACCAACTAAAACCCCCACAAATAAAACAAAACCCAAAACCCAACCAACCAAAAAACCAAGCTACAACAAAAAACCCACCCAAAACACACAACTTATGAGACCACAAACTTGTACCCCATTTCTCCTATGAGAAGCTATTCTAGACAATCTTGTGGTTCAATCCAGCCTTAAAATGAACTTGCAATACCAAAACACATCAAAATTGACTCCTCCCATCTAGTCCAATAACCAACATAGGATATCACTGAATTAAATCGAACAGTGGTGAACACTGTCACTACAGACCCCTTGGAAAACCTGAGATCTGTGTTTGATCTGCAAAAACTGTTCTTTCCTGATTGAAACAGTCTCTGGGTTTTGGCACACAGCCCAAGACCTTCTTATGGGTATAAGAATTCTAGTTCATAGGCAAAACATAAAAGGTCCCCTATAATTCAAGGCAAATGGAATTTTTTAACAGATGAGCAGACAACTCTACCTGTGACTATTGGATTTCGCAGTGTTTTGTTTGTAGTTTTCCTGGTGGAAAAGCAGTTCTCCTTGCTTCTTTATGTTGTTACTGCAGTAATGGAGGAGGTTTTGCTGGGCAGTTTTGGACAAGTGCTAAACCCTGGGCACTAGTAACTTATGATCTTTTTCCCACGCAGCCAAAACAAGACATTGTTCACACCACAGTGTGCAGCAGAACTACAATGCTTTAAGAAATGTTACTAGCACTTAATGTTCTATTTTCTATAATTTGAAAAGGTACAGTAGAAATTACTCTGAAAAGACAGAGAATAAAATAATCCACAGGAACTGATTTCCAATTAGCATACTGAAATGTCTATAATAAGCTGAAATGTGATTAATAAGCTTACATTCCTATCTGACCCATATGCTATGGAAGTCTAAGAGGAAATTGCCTAACTGTGCAGTAACTGCACTCTGTAATCCTCTCCTTAAGAGTCCTCCTTTCAGTGGACACAGGCTGTAGTGGCAGAAGCTAGAGCTGTTCCTAACATTTCTTTCTCTTATTTCAGGGAGTCTTAGCTAACCTCTTCTTTGTGGAACATGACTTTCCAGAGCAAGAGATTCAGGAAGGGAAGAGCCACCAGAACCCACATGAGGCCCAGTTTGTGGTGGAACTGTGCAAATACTTGTTGTGTCAGGAATATCTACCTTCTCAGATCACCATTCTCACTACTTATACTGGACAGCTTTTCTGTCTGCAGAAGCTCATGCCAGCCAAGACCTTTGCAGGTGTGAAGGTTCATGTAGTAGATAAGTACCAGGGGGAAGAGAATGATATTATTCTGCTGTCACTTGTGCGAAGCAACAAAGAAGAGAGAACTGGATTCTTGCAGATCCCTAATCGGATATGTGTTGCATTATCCAGAGCTAGGAAAGGGCTGTATTGTATTGGAAATATGAGAATGCTTGGCAAGGTTCCTCTCTGGAGCAAGATCATTCACACCCTTCGGGAAAAAGGTCACATTGGCCACTCATTGGCACTTTCCTGTCAAAATCACCCTGCAACCAGGACACTGGTATCTACAGCAGCAGACTTCAGCAAAGTCCCGGAAGGAGGCTGTAGTCGTCCCTGTGAATTTAGGCTGAGTTGTGGACATGTTTGCATGAGGGCATGTCACCCATATGATGCACAGCACACAGAGTATCAGTGTCTGAAGCCTTGTCAAAAGCTGCTTTGTGCAGATGGGCACCGCTGCCCACAGTCATGTTACGAGCCCTGCGGACCATGCATGGTGATGGTAGAGAAAACAATTTCTAAGTGTGGCCACCTGCAGATGGTGCCGTGCTCTGTGCCAGAGAGTGAGGTTATTTGCCAAGAACCTTGCCAGAAAATGTTGAACTGTGGGCACATGTGCAACCAGTTCTGTGGGCAGGAATGTACTAAGCGGTGTCCTGAACCTGTTACAGTCATGCTGAAATGTGGCCACAATCAGAAAGTTAAATGCTGGATCACTGAGGAGATGAAACAGGAGAAGCCTGTGGAATGTAAGACTAAGTGTTCTGTTACACTGCAGTGTGGTCACGTGTGCTCAGGTTCCTGTCATACCTGCTTTGAAGGAAGATTTCATGAGCCGTGCAAGAGCCCTTGCAAGCGCTTCTTGGTCTGCTCCCATAAGTGCCAGCAGCCTTGTACTACAGAATGCCCTCCCTGTCAGCTGGAATGTGAGAACCACTGTATCCACAGTCGATGTAAAAAGAAATGTGGAGAGAGCTGTTTCCCATGTGCTGAGCCCTGTGAGTGGTGGTGCCAGCACTACCAGTGCACCAAGCTCTGCTCTGAGCCCTGCAACAGGCCTCGCTGCAACACACCCTGTGCTGAGCTGCTGCCCTGTGGTCACCCCTGCATCGGGCTGTGTGGAGAGCCCTGCCCAAAGAAGTGCCTGGTTTGTGACCGTGAGGAACTCACCCAGATCTTTTTTGGCTTTGAGGAAGACCCAGATGCTAGATTTGTGCAGCTTGAAGACTGTGGCCACATCTTTGAGTCCCAAGGCCTCGACCATTACATGGATGAAGATGATGATGTCATCAAGCTGAAGGTATGCCCTGTCTGCCAGACACCGATCAGAAAGAATTTGAGGTATGGCAGCATTGTGAAAAGACGGCTAGATGAGATAGAAAAGGTAAAAGAGAAAATCCAAGGCCCAGCACAGCAAGTTGAGTCTAGCAGACAAAGACTGCAGGCTGCACTGAGTGGGAATGCTGTTTTGCAGAGGAATCTACCCCTTAAGTACCTCATGCTAGAAGATAAACTAAAAGCTTCTGATCTCTCCACAAGGAGTATTGGACTAATTGAGAACCAACTTAAATTCTATGAACGTGTAGCAGATCTAACCCATTCTATGAGCAAAATTGATGCGAGTGAGAGGAAAAGGCTGAGAAAGCAGCTGGATGAAGTCCAGGAGTGGCTGGAAAAGCCACGCCTCAGTTTTTCAGGACAGGAGCTATCTGACCTGCAGGCCGAGATCCAGAGACTAACCTATTTGGTGAGTCTCCTGGCAAGGTGCAACGGCATAGGTTGGACAATTCCCTCAGCGCTTGCAGCAGTGATTGCCAGCGCTCGTGAAATCCTGGAAGGGACAAAGAAATTCACAGAGGAGGAGGAGGCTGCCGTGAAGGCGGCCCTGGAGGCGCTGCGCGCTGCCCTGCCGCGCTCGGGGCTGGGGGTGTCCGAGGCTGAGCGGGTGCAAATTGTCAGCGCCATTGGCTGCCCCCGCGGCCACTGGTTCAAGTGCCGAAATGGGCACATCTATGTGATCGGGGAGTGCGGAGGAGCAATGGAGAGGAGTACGTGCCCTGAATGCCGGGCGGTCATCGGGGGCACGAACCACGCTCTGGACAGCAGCAACAGCCTCGCCTCCGAGATGGACGGCGCCACCCACGCGGCCTGGTCGGAGACGGCCAACAACCTGCTCAACTTCGAGGACCTCCAGCAGCTTTTCTAGGGGGGTGTCCACTCCGCTTCTTATCCTATCCCGGGGACACCGCGGGGGCTCCTCGGGCGCTTTAATAAAGACGCTCTGAAGGCCCCGGGCCTGGTTTGTTGTTGCGGGGCGGGACCGGAAGAAGCGGGACGCGCCGCTTCCGCCGTTTCCCGGAAGCGGG